AGCCAATCTGGTTAATAATAAAAAAATGATACATAAATAAATCAACTTGCTAACTAAAAAACATATTTTTTTTAGAGTAGGAGGGTCTAAATATTAAGAAATTTTAATAAGTGCATATCTATGGTGTGTGGGCAAATGAGTCACAATTTTGGATAAATTAAAGCCTTTGGTGTAAAAAGGATGCAAGCCACAATTTGTGACTGTTTTAACTCAAAACATCTTTTAATAAGGATACTAGCCACATACAAATCATTTTACCTCTATTTCAAATGAGGCACCATTTCTAGTAACATACATAAATAATTTTTTTTTAATTTGTATTTGACATATTTAAAACAAATTTAAAATTCCATTTTTTTAAAACTTACAATGTATCCTTATTACGCAAAGGTCTTCAATTAGTTTCAGTCATCTATACCTAGTGTAAAACATGGTGTAAGTCAATACTTTCTATAAGGGTCGCTATTTAACTTGGACTTTATAATATAAATTACAAAAATACCTTTTGGTGGGAAAAACAGTAAAAATCGACGTATAAGACATATAACATAGATTTACTTAGCATCTAAATTTTTGACTTTTTGTCTACCCATGATAGATATATTAACACTCTGAACATTAAGCGTAATTTCGTACTATAAATAAATAATTACAGAGCCCTGGATATCTGTGCAAATTTTTATTTTTTGAAGTGCACAAATTACGAATATATTCATGAAAGTACTGAAGGTGCTCTTGTTTTTTATGATTTTTACATATTTTATATTTTGAACAATTATCGGCTTGTTAGTAATAAAATTTATTTTTCCAGTCATGATTAGGCTTCGGCGTAACATTTTCGCGCATACAAACATCACGTGATCCCCACTCTCAGACCCCTTGCTCCGCAGAGCAGCTTAGGTCTCAGTTATTTGGTAATATTGAAGTACTTACACGTAAATCTGGATAAGTTGTCATGTGTTAATATTTTGTTTCAATTACTGAATGTCCATTCTAATATATTGGTCTTGTCTTTTAAAAAAAGAGTTCGTTACGAAGAGAGTGTAAATATTAGTAGTGATTAATTTTGTTATATTTGCGGTGTTTATATAACAAAAAACAAAAAAGAAATATCACAGACTTTGTCAAGGAGACTTATCGATGGTTCAATCAAATACTGCCATAACTAAAATACTATTGTTTTGAGTAATTTCACTTTGAAATTTTGTAAGTCTCTTTTCTCATTATTTTGTTTCTGACATAAAATCTTTATATTTTATTTAAAAGCTACGACATTTTGCTGTTAAAATTAACGATTACGATTATAAAAGCGCCGTAACTCGAGTTAAAGCGTAGTTTGTGAAAAAAAATTGGGTGTCTTTGCACAAAATAACTCGGTATTTCAAATAAAAACTCAATGATATTTTGCATCCATTAAACCAAAAATATAATTTTCTTTGTTTTTTGACATGTGGCGGTTTTTGATTGAGCCATCGTTATGCTGAATACTTTGGTTTTGAAATTGACAAACTAGTTTTTACGGTTGTGGATAAAGGGACAACGTTCTGCATTAGACTTTGGTATTCCTATGATCTGGATAGACCATAAGAATCATTTAGATGATTGTTATTTTTGCGTAGTATATGCTAAAGGTTTTACTCGAAATCAAACGTGGAGTTATTCAAACTAACAGTCTACAAAATGTCCTGTTCTACACAGTGAAAATCTCCCTCGGCCTATTTACATTTCAAAATTAGTTTGCAAGACCTCAGAAACAATGATGTTGCCAAATTCACAGAAATTGGGACAGTCTACCAGTGGAAGTGAATCAGAGTGTGAAACATCTAAGCCAAAGTTATTTTCTCAAAATGAACTCAGTGATTTAATACGTGATCTCAATTTATCAAAACAGGGATCAGATTCGTTGCGAAGCTGCTTTTAGATATGGGTTTAAAAGAATACAAACTTACTGTGTGGCGCATTTTTATTGACAGTTGTAAAAGAAGTTTAAAATGCGTCTTACTGCATAATAGATATAAATTTGCATCAACTCCAATTGCCCATTCAACAAAACTCAAAGAACATGAAATTGTAAAATTGATTTTAGAAAAAAATATTTACTTAGAGCATAAATGGTCGATCTGTGTGGATTTGAAAATGGTTAATTTTTTATTTGGTCAACAAAGTGGATACACAATATACCCTTGCTTTATTTGTATGTGGGACAGTAAAGCAAAGCAATTTTATTGAGAAAAAGATGTTTGGCATGTAAGAAATTCTTTAACTGTCGGTAAAGCCAAGGTAATAAGGAGCCGTTGGCGAACAAAGATAAAATCATACTTCCACCATTACACATTAAATTAGGAATGATAAAGCAATTTTTACAAGCGTTGGACAAGAAAGGAGATTGTTATAATTATATTTGTAGAACATTTCCAATTCTTAGTATGAAAAAGTTGAAAGGTGGAATATTTGATGGTCCCCAAATACGGCAATTGATAAAAGACACAGATTTTATTGAAGTTATGACTTTTCCAGAAAGTAAGACTTAGATCGACTCTATGTTAAGGGAGAAAACTATACACACAACCCTTATGTGAGAGACAATAGCGGCACGGGTAGCGAGAGGATGTCCGCAAGGTGGAGTGCTGTCTCCAATCCTGTGGAATCTTGTAGTGGACGGGCTGCTTAGGGCTCTCAAAGATAAGGGACATAGAACCCTGGGGTATGCCGATGATCTAGTGATCATGGCACAGGGAAAATACAACACTATAGTAAGAGATCGAATGCAAGAGGCTCTAAATATAGTAACAAAATGGACAAAGGCGGAAGGACTAAACATTAGCCTAAACAAATTTGTCATAATTGCATTCATCCACAGGAGAAAACTAGAGGGACTAGGGCCTCTAATCCTAAGAGGTGCAAGCATCCAGCTTAAGGGGAAGGTAAAATTTCTCGGGTTTATGATTGACTCGAGACTTATCTGAAACCAGCATCTGGAAAAAACCACAAGGAGAGCGAAAACCTCGGTAATGATGACAAGGCGATCCTTTGGAAAAAAATTGGGGTTAAAACCAGACATGGTATATTGGCTTTATAACATGGTGGTGTGACCGATAATAACATAGGCAGCTTTGGTGTGATGACCAAAGACACAGCAAAGGAAAGCAATAACGAGGCTAAGCAAGGTACAAAGACTTGCTTGCCTCGGAATAACGGGGACAATGAAAACAAATCCCACTGCTGCAATGGATTAACTAATAGGACTCCCACCTCTTCACTATGTGATACAAGGGAAAGCAAGAATAGGTGCTTACAGATTAGGAAATATACTGGGAAATCTTGACATTAGGCCAGGTCACATGAGTATCTTAAGGTTAGTGACAGGTAACGTGCTAGATATGAGATCAGGCCACATAACCAAAAGGTACTCTTTTAATACTCCATTTAAGGTTTTAATACAGAAAAGAGCGGAGATCACCATAAGGGAGCCCAATGCTCAACGACAGGAACAAACCTGGTATACAGATGGGTTTAAGACTGCGGAAGGCACTGGTAGTATTCTCCAAAAACCCTGATACTAATCATAGCTATGCTATAGGAATACTTTACTAGGTATTTCAGGCCGAGTTATATGCAATTTTGAACAATGAAATAGCTGTCGAAAATCAGCATATTCAAATAATGTCAGACAGCCAAGCGGAACTTAAGGCCATATCGAGTCAGAAAGTTACGTCGAGGCTGGTAGCCATATCGAGTCAGAAAGTTACGTCGAGGCTGGTATGGAAATGCAACAAAGAACTAAGAACACTGGCAGACCAAAATAGAGTAAAACTATTTTGGGTGCTAGGTCAACAAGTGATCAAAGGCAACGAAAAGGCTGACGAACTTGCAAAAAGAGGGCCAGAAGAAACACAGGAACCAGACACAAACCCAGGAGTACCAAAAAGTACAGTCCGAGGTTTTAGAAACGACTGTATTCGGGAACAACATATTAACTATTGAGGAAGCACCCCAAAACGGGCACATGGAAAAGCCTTCATAGCCTTCAAAAGAACTGGAAAACTACTCTTTGTAAATAGGAACCAGTTAAAAGTGATAACAGGGTTCATAACTGGGCACGCTCCAGTAAAGTGACAATTGAACAAAATGACGTGTACAATGGGGAACTCATGTGCCAATTATGTCACAAGTAACCAGAAACGGCCAAACACACTGTGCGAATGCGAAGCTCTAGATCGCAAAAGACAGGCTCTTTTTGGACAACCCCAGGTTGATCCAACAACGAATAGAACCCACTCACCTGAGGATCTGTAGAAACTTGTACAAGGTACAAAGGTGACAGAGTAGGTGCTACGAACTAACACGATAAGCCAATAGGCTTCAGTGTTATTCGGAGACATAGTCAGACGAGCCCAGGAGAAAAAAAGGCTTGAAAAAGTTTTGTGTTGGTAGTTGAAAATTTCCTAGGTAACCATAATTTACCAAATTATAAAGAAATTGTACAAAATATGCTGACAAACTTTCAGCCTCTAGGAGCAAATATGAGAATCAAATTGCCCTATATCCTCAATCATCTGGATAAATTTCCGGATAATTTAGGAAATTATAGTGAGAAACAGAAAGAGCGGTTCCACAACGATCTAAAAGTGATGGAGAAAAGGTATCACGATCGATGGGATTTTCACATGATGGCAGATTATTGCTGGTCTTTAAAAAGAGATTGTCCCGTAAAAAAATATAAAAGAAAAGCACATAAAAGGCGTTTAATAGAAATCTAACATCTTTTCGCCATTTCTTTCTCTATTTACTTCGATGTATCTTAATTTTTCAAAACAAACCTGACATTATAAATATATCTGTTATTTTGTTTCTTGTTTTCCGATTTTTTTAATGTTAGGTGAAAATAGAGTTTTAAAAGAAAACGAGAGCAAATCTTACGAAATCATTGATAGTAAATCAGATATAAATTCTACATATTACACTGTTTACTTACCTATTACATATGTGTTTGATTTTAGGATTTGGTTACTCTGATGGAGCATCTAAACCAAATCTAGGATCTTTCCACATTGGAGTAATAATGAAAAATCTCATGCTGAAATTAGGATTCGAAAAATTTTACGTCCAAGGTACAGATTGGGGTGGAGCTATTGTACAACATATGTCTGTCCTGTTTGAAGATAATATAGTGGCTATGCATTCTAATATGTGTATAGTACGATCTAGATTTTCTACAATTAGAGTATTTCTTTACGATATGTATCCCGAATTATTTATGGCAGAAAATGAAGACAGGTATGTGGATTTGTTGTTCCCGTTAACGAAACTTTGGTCATTTAGGATATTGGAGGGAGGATATTTTCATATTCAATCTACAAAACCTGATACAATTGGTAAGTTGAAAATATAATAATATTGTTAATGTTATAAAACGCAAAGATGCTATTTCCTAATCTAAACATTTAGTCCAGTTATTTGCATTACTTTCTTTTCTTTAGGATGTCGGCAATTGTATTGCCCTTTGGACATTATTGTACCACTTTCTTATGAGGTGTCTCTTATCAAAAATATACTACTTATTACTTTTATTTTTATTTTCCTATTTCATTTTTGAATTACATAATCCAGCAATATTGTAAATAGTGATGGGCTATAAATATGTCTTCTCTAAATTTTCTATAAATTTTTAATGAAATACTGAGCATACTATTGTTGATTTGTAATCGTTGCAGCTTACTATATAGAATAGTACTGTTAATATCGTCTGGATTACATCAGCTGATAATTTATCGAAAAGTATAGATATTTTGTTCAATAAACCATGATCCACTGTTGCGTTCTTTTTTATGCATGGAGGTTAGGCATTCAAAGACATGTAAAATTGTTAGTTTCATTTATTTGGTCTAAAAAAGAGTAAGATACAAAAAAAAATTAAATTTAAAAAAACTGGGGTGGATGGCTCAGTGGTAGAGTCTTTGCCTGCGGATCCAAGGGTCCCAGGTTTGAATCTCACCGTTGGCCGGGATTTTTTTATTTAATTTAATTATTTAAAATTATTTCTGATGCCTTGGTAAGATTCCCCACTCGACCATTCACTGTTGGGTTCTAATTAACATTGCTGTTTTTAAAGTGGCGCTGGGAAACAGTAACAAAGCCTACACAGAACCCCCTTAGCAGTTGAAGCCAATGATACAAAAAAAAAATTGAAAATCAAAAATCAACTGGGCGGTATTATTTGTGCCGAAAATGAATCACTTGTCTAATATTACTGGATTAAATGCAACATGTCCAAAAGACACCTCACAAAGTTGTCAACAAATAAAAAATTCAATTAAAATTGGTTAAAGCTCTTTTTAGATGTTAATAACCAAAGGTATTTTTTTAGTATTAACATTTAACCAGTAACTTATTTCTATCTTATATTCTAGGGGTAGGCTTAAGAGAAAGTCCAGCTGGGCTTGCAGCTTACATGCTGGAGAAGTTCATTACTTTAGCTAATCCAGCGTATAAAGATCTTGATGATGGTGGTCTTGAAAAGACTTACGGAATTACTACGCTTATTGACAACATCATGTTATACTGGGTTACTAATTCAATAACAACCTCTATGAGGATATACGCAGAAGATTGGACCAAAATAAACAGAGAAGATTTAAGCATTGAAAGGTAGATGTTTTTGTGATACTAAGCACCTGGGTTTATTTAAAAGATGTATGTATTTTAGATGTAACCGTCAAAGTCGGACATTTAAACTAAGACCAATTTTTTGACATTTAGGTACATAATATAAGTATATATTACATTTTTTGTATATTTTTAAAAGAATAATTAACGAAATAGGAGGTATTGAAAATTTGACTTATAGATAACAAAATGTTAGTTACTGTATTTTTTTTGTTAAACCCCAATTCTATCATGGTATACGTTTTTTATAGGACTCTAAACGTTTAGAATAGTGGCAGCATATCATTCCTAGGGCCGATAATGCACTTTATAGAAATGACCCTCTATTACTTAATTGGTGGTATAACATACAGAACATTGCATTTAAAAAATCGAGAAAATCGTAACCTCGCATTTTAACACACCCTATATACAACATAGCAAATGAGTGAAGCCTAACAAAATTGTTTGACAATGTGAAAATCAAAGATGTATAACTACTTGAAGGGTGTTTTTCTTTAAAATAATATAGGTTTGGTTAGCACCTCGTTTATGAAAAACCCTGTATATTTAGAAATATTTGTTAACTATAGTCATAAAACTTTTATATTAAAAATTTCTTCGTATTTCCAATAATAAAGCAGCTATTAATTAATTGGCTAACTTGTTGATACCTTATAAATTTACCTATAAGGTATTTTATTCTAAAATAATATACAGTGGGTTGCATTGAAAATAGTTGAGTGAATTGAACCTAAAATTAGCCATATTTTCAAAACACTCTGTCTAAATTATTCAGTTCTATCACCACTATTCGTTATCTTAGTATCTTATGAATAATATGTATTTAAAACAATTTTGAAGTCATTGTTAACCTGCATAAATATAGATAATTTAATTTGGGGTCTAAATCATGTAAAAAAAAAAATAATTTTTTGGCAACCCCGTAATATTTAAAAAATCTAGAGTTGAATACAGTATTACCCGACTATTCTAAAACTGAAATAAAATAAGGTAAGTGAGCTAAATATTGCCATGCTAAGACTTCTTATTTTTTAATAATTACAAATTTATTTGAAATAACCTGTAAGTTTATGAAACAAGTAACAAACATGTTTATATTCTAATTTATAAACAATTATAAAAATAAAGCAAAAAATAAATAAATAATCTTCTTTTTTTATAAATAATTGCCAACTGGAAATATTTGGGACCTATATCCTTAATATTGCCACAGTACTGGCAATAAAAGGAACAGGTATTTTTCTAACAAAATTAATTATAATATTTAACCTAACAAACACTTAAAAAACTAATGTAAAAAATTAACTATTTTTGAGCACAATTAGGGCATATGAATTCATCCTTGTCATTTTTAGTAAGACCCACACACTCTTCATGCACGTATTGGCCACATGCAAGACATAATCTCATATCAGCCTGGCGATCTTCAAAACATACAAGGCAGAACCACGATTCACTACTTTTGGAATTCTTGTTTATTTTATTTTTTGTTTTTATTGTTCAGATTGTCTTGTTCTTTTTGATGTTTGTTTATTTTCTTTTCTTGCTGTTCTTTGTTTTTGTCTTCTGTTTTTTCTTGTTGTTTGGAAGGGTGTTTGTTACTTTTACCTTTGGGTGGTTTTTCTATCGCTGAGAAAAATAAATCCTTCGTTACTTCTTCAGCTTTGCTATTAATTGCTGGTTTTCGCTGCGTAGCAGTTATCTTGATTAGGGGTGAAATTAGTAAGCCCATACCTTTAAAAGAAGTATCTGGTTCTGGAACTTTTTCGGGAGTAAATGGTACCATATTTTCATTTTCGCTCTTGATATCGTCAGATGAACTATCATGAACACTGAAATCTGATTCAGAATGAGACTACTCGCTATATAAACGACTGCGTTTTGTTGAATTTTTTTTAGTGCTTATTCCACTTGTACTGGGACCGTTTTCATCAACTGTAGAAGTTGATGGCTTTTTTACGTTGTTATCGACATATTCTAACTGTTGTAAAACATTTTCTTCAACATGAGTTATAAGAATGGGTGCAAATGCTGATTCAGGTATGATGTCTGGGTTAAAAGGAAATATTCCAGTTGCTTTGAATCCGGAGATGATGTTAGTTGGTGTCTTCGCTTTTAACCAAACTTTACTAAATATTTCACCAAATCGCATTTTGGTTAAATTTTTCCCAGGTTGAGTTATTAAAAAATTTAAAACTTCCTCATTCCAAAAAGACTCATAACTTTTGAAGACTGCTTTATCCATAGGATGCAGTTCATGCGTGATGTGGAAGACAAAATAAAGTAACACCATAATTTTATGCAGCTTCAACAATGCTGATGTCCAGATGCGATTTTGCACCATCGAATATCAGTAGTGTGGGTCCTGTATTCTTATAATTTGCAAAATGTGCTAGCCAAGAAATAAATGCCTCATTTGTCATGCTCCCTTTCTGTGCCATCATCGCAGTTGATCCTGGTGGTAGATGATCAGGCTATTCAGGCTTCAATCTCTTCCCTTTGAAAAGAATACATGGTGGTATGGCTTGCCCCAGGGCATTTCCACATCCCACAATACTCACATTTTCATCGTTTTCAGGCGCTGTCAAGTGGATACGTTTAGCACCTTTCTTGGCCAATACAGTTTGCTGTTTATGAATCGTTAGACGGCAACCTTTCTCGTCCATATTGTAAACGTTTCCAGGTTTATCAAACAATTCAAATTTAATGAATACTTCCTCCAATTTCTTAAAATAATCCTTTACAATAAATTTATTCATTTTCTGTGCTCTTGTTGGATTCATTTGCTTAGCCGTTTCCTTCCTGCTAATTTGGATGTACCAGAAAAAGGATTAGGAATGTTTATTATCATCGCATACGAAAATACACTTCTTCTTACCATTTTACTGCTTATTTGCATGCCCACCTCTGCTAGTTTATGAATTCTGCCAACTAGATATCTTTCTTGTTCAAAACTTAAAACACTTTTCCCTCCAAGTCGTTTAACCGAATTTTGGTTACGATAATGTAGTCCAAGTGTTGTTCGGGGTATTTCATATCGCAATGAAGCTTGACTTAATCTGCTTCCAGCTCTTATTGCTTTTAACGCTGCAACGACATTCGCCTCAGACCACATGGCTCTTTTTTTATTCAGCATTCTGTTGAAAAGAAAGTTTTTATTAATAAAAATTATTTTTTCATGCTAGGTTCCAAATATTGCCATGACAATATTAGGAACTATCTTACGTGGCAATATTTGGATCATTACAACTGCAGAACAAAAATGGCGTTTCATGTTTTATTCTTTTTTATAATAATTAAACACAATATGGATTAATAAAGTACTTGATTGTACCTACCTTATAACGTAATCACCCTTTTATATTCGGTATTAGCAGGCTAATAATAATCACAACAGTTTTCTCAAGTTTTTATAAATAAAGCGCACAAAACACACGCTGCTTTGCCGTGAACCCCAATACTGACTGGTTGCACCTATAACGTTTTTAAAGTGGTTGTGTTAATTCGATACTTGAGCTGGCATGGTCATCTGTGACTCAAGGGACAAATTATTAAATTTATGGAGAGTGGCAATATTAGGAGTATGGCAATATTTGGCGCACTTACCTTATTTAAAAATATACATTTTTATTTTCCAGGCAATAACGCAAAAATATTTTAAGGATATATATTTGTTAAATCTTACGGACAATTTCATGTAAAAACTATTATCTATAATACTATCACATACATACACCATAATCCCTAAAAAACATATCGCTCATTTTTTTTTTGAAAAGTCGTGCATTTTTTTATGTTAAAAACGCGACTCCACGCGTGTGAAGCCGCAGGCAACAGCTAGTTGTATACATATATGGAAAAGTTAACACTATTAAAGTAAACTGTGAAAATGACAACTATTATGTTAAGAAGTGACAATTATTTAATGAAATAAGATGTTTACAGTGAGGAAAAAAAAGTTCAAATATATTTTTCAGAATAGAGAACAAAGGTGTAGTTAAGAAATATAAATAAATGATAACCTATAATAGATGTTCCATGTGTCCACCATTAATGTTAATGCATAATTGATAACGTCTTCTCAGATTTAGAATTGCACCGAAAATGGCTTATTATTCATATTATTTATTTTAAATCTTAAATTCCCAAAAAAAAATTATCCATGGGGGTTAAATCCGGACTGTTAATAGTTCCACTAGTCCCTAACTATATTAAGAATACTTTATGATTTATGATTACTGTAAACACTTTTGTTTAATTAAAGAATTGTCATTCACGATAGTAGACATTTTCAAAATTTACCTTAATAATATTAACATTTCCATATATTCAGTAACTAGATATTTGACGTTTAATAAATTAAAAACATATATTTTTAAAAAAAATAAATTCGAAATTTTTATATTATACAGGGTATCGAATTAAAAACAAAAAATATTATTTTTTCTTGTCCCTGAAATCTACACGTTACTGTTATTTTGATCAGGTAACGAGCATGTGTACGACGTTTTATGACATACTGCAATTAACTACGTATTACAACCTATAATCAAATAAAATTTTATCATTTGACACCATTATTAAAAGATTCCGAATGTGACTTAAAATAATGACAGTTATAACGACTTTTGATTCATAACTGTTGTTAACATTTTTACCGGGCTAGTCCGTTATGACTGCCTTAACAACCATGTTGGTTACCTCGGTTTAATATTTTAGCATATAATAAACATTATTCTTATTTACGTTTATTTGATCTCTATTTTAGAATAACAAACATTCTTAACTTCAAATGTAAACCAATCGGTATAAAGAATGAGTCGCTTTTCCCAAAAAAAGTCACTCTTTATTATATTCTTAACTGTCACACATCATCCTCATCATCCCAATCAAACCAATAAAATTTAAATAGGGAAAGCATCAAGAACAAATTATCAAAATTATAATTTTACAGGGAAATTAGCGATATGAGTAAATGT